ACAAATTAGAAGATACAGAGGAAGTGAATAAATTTTTGGAAGCAGACAATCTCTCAAGCTAGAATAAGGAAGAAATAGAAATCCTGAACACATGAGTAACGAGTAACAAGATTGAAACAGTAATAAAAAAAAAATCTCCCAACAACAGCAAAAAAGCTCAAATGGAGCTTTTTCCCTTTCCTCAAAAGGACCAAATGGATCCACAGCCAAAGTCTACCAAACCTAAAAAGAAGAACTGGCACCTCGCCTAGTGAAACTATTCCATAACACTGAGAAGAAGGAAAATCTCCCTAACACATTTTATGAAGCCAGTATCACCCTAATATCAAAGCCAGGAAAGGACACAACACAAAAAGAAAACTATGGACCAATATCCTTCCTACACATAGATGCAAAAATCCTCAACAAAATATTAGCAAACTGAACCCAACAGCACATCAAAAAGATAAATCACCATGCTAAAGTGGGTTTCATCACAGGGATGGTTCCACATGAATGTGATTTACTACATAAACAGAATTAAAAATAAAAGCCATATGATCATCTCAATAGATGCAGAAAAAGTATTTGATAAAATCCAGCACCCCTTCAGGAAAAAATCCCTAACAAATTAGGCATAGAAGGAACATAACTTAAAATAATAAAATCCATATGCAACAAACAAACAGCCAAAATCACACTGAATTGGGAAAATTTGAAAACATTCCCCTAAGAACTGGAAAAAGACAAGGATGGCCATTGTCACCACTTCTATTAAACATAGTAATGGAAGTCCTAGGCAGAGCAATCTGGCAAGAGGAAGAAATAAAGGGCATTCAAATCAGGAAAGAGTATGTCAAACTGTCCCTGTTTGCTAACAATATGATCTTATATCTAGAAAACCCTAAAGAGTCCACCATAAGACTCCTAGAATTGATAAAAAAAATTCAGGAAAGTCTCAGGTTACAAAATTCATGTACACAGATCAGTAGCGTTTCTATACACTAATAACAGTCAAGCTAAGAGTTAAGTCAAGAACTCAAGCATTTACAATGACAGAAAACAACATAAAATACCCAGGGATATACTTAACCAAGGAAGGGAGAGTTCTCTACAAGGAGAACTATGAAACACTGATGAAAGAAATCACAGATGACACAAAGGGAAAAGCATTCCATGCTCATGGATTGGAAGAATCAACATTGTTAAAATGTGCATACTGCCCAAAGTGATTTACAGATTCAATGCAATTCCCATCAAAATAGCAATGTCACTTTTCATAGACCTAGAAAAAACAATCCTAAAATATATATGGACTCAAAAAAAGACCCTGAATATCCAAAGCAATCTTAAGCAAAAAGAACAAATCTGAAAGCATCACATTACCTGACTTGAAATTATACTACAAGGCTATAGTAACCAAAATAGCATGGTATTGATATAAAGGTAGACATATAGACCAAGGAACACAATAGAAAACCCAGAAATAAAGCTATTTAGCTACAAACAACTGATTTTCAACAAAGCACACACTGTAAAAAAGATTATTCAATAAATGGTGCTGGGCAAATTGGATAGCCATATGTAAAAGAATGAAACTGGATCCCTATCTCTCACTACATACAAAAATGTACTCAAGATGGAATAAAGATTTACATGTAAAACCTGAAAAATTCTAAAAGAAAACCTAGGGGTACTAGAAATGTACTATTTCTTCCCCTCTTCGGTGGTTACATAGATGTTTGCTTTGTAATTATTCTTTAAATTGTATGTAAATGTTTCATACACTGTTTTCTATGCTTAATATTTCACAATTTTTAAAATGATAATAAATTGCCTGATCTTGTAGGATTTGTCTTTCATTGGAAACTTTTTAATGTTCTGGTCCTTGTGGCAAAAGGTCTTGACAGAATATATCCCTTTTTTGATTCCGGTCTCTTTGACTGAATAAAGGATATGATACAATCAATTCCACAGCCCTTACATTGAAATTTCTAAGAAATATTTCACTGGTAGATAATGAATAGGAAGAGACAGAATGCAATCAACTAAAGGCTTAGGCTTGGGGGCAGGCTCAGTGTGTGACACATGGTAGACACTCAGAAGGAGTTTGCTACTGATGAAATAGGCTTTGGTTGCGCTGCTGCCAGGGCTGACTCACACTGGGAGCATTTCTCCACCTTTTGTCTTAGGAAGAATTATTTATTATAGGCCACCTGGTAGATAAGACACAGGATGTTGTGAAACTTCGGGGTTCCAAGACACTTTTCAGTCAGAGCCATTTGAATATTTGATTAATTATATTTTTAAATTCTTCCCTCAGGGCTTGCTTCTTTAGTCAGTTCATAGAGCATTGATATTTCTGGCTATCGCTTTGCATGAAGTGAGGAGACCATGCTTAATCTTATGCCTTGTAAATTGCATCATCTTGCTAGTACTCAATACAGTGTAGAGTCATCTCTTATAATGATACAGTTATTTTTCAGCAAATGTTAATAGCAGGTGCTGTGTCTGAATCTCTTTTAAAGTTAAGCTTTCAGGACAGCATGAAGCTGAGGGTGATGATAAAGAATCATTTGGCAAATCAGCAAGAAAATACACATGAAGTGTAGAAATGCTTTTTGAGCCTGTAATGGGGCTTGTTTGGGGCCAGGCCCAGAGGAGTGGTGGGTCATGCCAAACAGCAGTGACCTTGTTCCATCATGAAATAACTCTACTATGTCTCAGTCTCACTGTGCTTATTCAAAGTGGTCTTAGCTACCAGCAATTGCCAAGTTTCAAGATGAAATGTAAAATATTAAGGGTCATTCGGGACATTTGTATCTCTTTTGCTCACAGAGGTACATGGGCTAAGAAGGGAAAAATTTGACCCAGTACTAAAAACTGCCAAGTGGCCCCGTCAAACCATATGACCTACAGAAGATCAGCACCCTAGCTTCAGTTTTGCCTTTATTGACTACATGACTTAGTAATGTAACCTCTCCAACTTTCAATTCCTCATTTGGAAATGTGAGTGATATGTTTCATGGGTATCCTGCAAACTTGTAAAAATGAAATGAGGTGAAAGATGCAAAATTGCTTGTTAACTATAAAGCCCTACATCAATGCAAGGACACTTTATAATCTTTTCTACGCACACAATTTTTATTATTCCTTACTCCAAAAAATCCAAAGATCAAAAGTGCATGAGGTTTAAAAAATACATCCTTCACCAATCTTAGTCTCCAGGAAGGACAATTATCTTTATACACTTGTGAATGTGTTTGTGTGTGTGTGTTTTAACAAAAAAGTGGGCATATCCTAATAACCAGAATACTATGCAGTAATTTATTTAGTAAGGTAACTTGTTATATACTGACATGAAACAATGATATTTTATGTGAAAAAGTTACAGAACAACATGTATATTATGATAATATTTGTGCAGACAGAGTACATGGCTACCTCTGGGGAAAAAATATTGCAAAGAAATGAGGTAATTGTACTTTTCACTTCACATTATTCTCTAATATTATATTTTGCACACATATTTTTCACAATAATTATTAAAACTATGCTAGAAAAAGTTGAGCATAAATCAACAAAATGGAGAAAATATGATACTATTGAAGATGCAAGTATAAATAGTAGACCAAAAAAAAGTTTTGAAAGGGAAGAATATACAAAAAGAAACTGGAAATTGAAATAAAAGAAACAAAAATGGAAGTAGACACGTTATGATTTTCAATTTTAGAGAATGGAAAAAAACTGCTGCCAACTTTCTTGTTATGTTTGACTCCTAAAAACAGGATATTCAGCCCTGTTGACTAGCTCTTTATAACGGCCGTATGCCCCCCAAAACGCAAATAGAAGCTGGGCACAAGGGTTTGGCAAGAGAAGAAGAAGAGCTAAGTATGATCATTGCTCAATTGTTTTAAAGTTTTCACATCTCATTTTTTAAAATGCAGAAAACAGTCATAAATTTGGAGGCTGGGTAGGAATGGAAGCCAAGCATCCATGAAAAGTCCTGGCATTTTCAAGTAACAAAATTTTATCTGTAGATATGATTGCTGTCACTAAATCCTTGGCATCAATCTTCTTAAAATGCTCATAGGGTGAAAACCCAAATCCTTCCCATGGTTTCAAGGCACTACATAATCTGTCCCTTGTTCATTCTTCCAGTCGCCTTTAAGGCTTCCAATCTTAAAATCTTTCTCACCTGTCTTTGCACAGACTACTTCTGCCTGAAGTGTGAAGCTCCTTATTCTATAGATTCGTCTTTCACAGGCTTCCCCAAGCCCCTCGACTCCTAATCTAAATCAGGTCACAATTTACGTATGTATTTGTATGGTATGGGTTTTATCTGACTTTCTAGCTCTGTTTAATCTACATAATGACTACTTTGGGTAGGGGGATCATATTATCCTTTCTCCTTTTGTGTATATTTTAATTTACCATAACAAATAGCTTTAAAAGTTTTCCTCTGATACTACAAACTAAAAACAAGTTATTGCCTGCAATTCTCCTAAACTCTTGTTCAAATTTCATATTTAAGAACACTCACTTTCTTTTTCATGACTAATTTTTTATTGTAACCATATTAGAGCCATAAAATTCTCTAATTTTTGAATGACCACAACAGCCTGGGCTGGAAGTCCAATGAGCTACCTATCCATTGTACCATAGAGCCAGCTAGAATGCCATAATTTTTAACTTCCCAACAGGTGTTGGCAAGAAAGTGAAATTGAAATTAACATCAGATAACCTAATAGGAAGGTCTGAAGTTCAATTGCTTTTCACTGTTTTTGCTACTAAAATCTTTTATTTGAAAAAAGCATTATAAAAGACTAAAATCTTTTATTTGAAAAGGACCCTAGAAAATGAATATAAGACTTCTAATGTAGCTCCATTTTCTCACTTTGAGTGAATCACTTTCCCTTGTTTTTTTGTTTTGTTTGTTTTAAATAATTAATATAATAAAGAGGTTAAGCTCTATATTTTATTTTCAGATCGAAAAATCCACAATTTGGAAAAAAAGAAAGCAGTCATAACCATTACCAGTGTTTAATTTTTAAAATGAAGCAATAATTCAAAACAACTTTTTTTTCTATTCATCATGAGGTCATAACTGAAAAGTGTTAGTTATACCAGATGAATCTACAAATCCAAGAGCAGGAATCATTGCATCTCCTTCGGAAGATTTGATACTGTCACTGTCCTTTTTTCTGTTAACATATTTGTGCAACAAGCTGTAGTACTGGTCATTTGGGTTGAAAGTATATAGTGATGAAATTTGCTGCCACTCTTTAATGCTTGGGGTGTTCAATTGTCTTGGAGGCAAGCGCTCAAAGAAACATTTAACATTCTCTTTTGCCAATTCAGTCGCATGCTCTGTGGCTTGGCCTTTAAGGATCTTCTGCTCCTCTTCCAAATAGATTTTCCAGAATTTCAACTGCAGAAAACTAACTGGAGATAGGCAGCGGGAGACACAGGTAAAAATCAGAAGGCAGATGATAACAGCTGCTATCAGGCACCAGCCCACCACCTTAAGAAAGCACAACAAAATAGTGATTTAGTCACTTTTTTATAAGACATTTAAAAATCCTCAGATAAAGTTTGAACTACTCACCAGTTATGATGATATGAAGAAACAACACTTTTAGGACTTAATCCCTTAAGAGTAAGGAGTGGCAGTCACCTCCCTAATCCCCCAGTACAGCTGCTTGCTTGGAAAGTCAATCATAGTCCAAGTCCTGTCAAGGGCTTAGGGAGGATCCCATTTGTCACTCTCTTAGAACCCAGAACGTGGGATTTCTGCAAATCCAGTGAAAGGAACGTTCATTTTAAAGAACCTCCTAGCTTTGCAAGCTCAGAAACAATGTGGGGTGGTGGCTTTAGAGCCAGGCAGATCCATTTTATTGTATATACCCATTTAGTGATAACAATTCTGCTTTCCCCTGGCTGGACAAAGAACTTTACCTAGACTTAACGTATTCCCTATATAGTGGAGATACGATACTAGTAACCCAACAGGGCTCTTGTCAGATGTGAGAGGTAAAGAGCCCAGCGCAGTATCTGGCGAAAAGTAGGTGTGCCCACTCTCACTCTCCACTTCACTTATAGGGCCATAAACTTACAGGAATGCTTTTTCGCTTTTTCATTCGTTTTACTGAAATATTCTCTCGTCGGCTCATTAGAAACAAGGAGCCATTCTAGATTTTCTTAGGGTGTCCTATGTCTGGAGAGAAGTCACTGATTTCTCCCTCACCCCAGCGGCCCCAGCCCGCAGAGACTCGCCCCCTCTGTCCCTCCCAACCACATCCGGCGCCCGCGCCTGCCCGACCTGTGACTGAGACTTGAGCTGCAGCAGGAGGTCCTGCACGCCGGCCGCCGTGGCCTTGCCGCAGGGCACCAGCGGCAGCTGGGCGGTGCAGTTTGGGTGCCGGTCCCGGCACAGGCTCCGCGCCAGGGCCGCGCTCCCGCTGGCCGCGCACTCGAAGAAGGAGCCCCCGAGCAGCGCCACGGCCACCCAGGTGAGGGGCGCGAGCGCGGCGGCCGCGGTCAGCTCCATGCACACCTGGACGCAGCGCAGCTGGCGGGAGCAGCACCTCGAGTGGGCGCTCCGCGCGCGCCTACAGCAGCCGGTCACCAGGCGCCACGTGCGCGTGCTCAGCGCGTAGCCCAAGAGGAAGAGCACGAGCGCCGGCACCAGCAGGAAGACCAGGCCGTAGGTCAGGTTCCAGGTGGCGGTGGTGCAGGGGCACTGGAACACGACGGCGGAGAAGATGCGCTCCCCGCCCGCCGTCAGCAGAGTCACCAGGCCGTAGCTCAGCGCGCGGTGGTGCTTGAGGTGCAAGTCCAGCACTGCCTGAAACTTCTCCATTGGCTTCATCCTCCAGGGGCCTTGCACAGGCCCAGGTGCTTCTGCGCCTTCGCCTGCCTGCTTGTCGAATGGTTGGGTGGCCTGAGGTCTGGGGCTTTACGCTTAGCTAAGAAGCAGCTTTTTCAGGGGTTCCTGAAGTTTCACTTTTCATTTCAACCACATCAGTTCTGGTTGACAGAAAGACCCGGGCAAGCAAACGCTCCCAGTACGCCTGACTTCCCTGGTACCCACCCGGTTACGAAGGGCAAAGGGTCCTCTCTCCCCCAGTTCGGGAACTCTGCCAGGAGATAGTCCCTGTGTAGTTACCACTGTTTCTTCCAATCTGACAAAGAACCAGAAGGCCTTCCTGACCCAATGCAGCCGCTTGGGCAAATTGGGAAAAACCATATTTTCCTCTATTGCAGCCACCCTAGTTGCTAAGCCAACAACCAGTAAGACCAAATAATTACCAAAAAAAAAACCAAAAAAAAACCTGATCACTTACAGTAAATATTATTCAAAGACAAATTTCTGGTTTCTCTTTCATAAGTTAAGTCACAGCAAAGCCCAGCTTAAGGTCTAGTGCTTCTGTGATGCCCTGTACCCTTCCTTCCCTGTCTCCCTCCTAGATGGAACCACCGGCCTAGTTTACATTGTCCTCTCCTCTGCCTGATCTCTCACAAGACATTAGACTAAATATATTATATTCATTTACTCATCAACACAATGCTTTTCTTCAGGAATGTTATAACTGTCAATACCTGGAGGAGTGTCAAATTCTTATTCTGTGACCACCAAGTTGATCAGCACAGAATATGAACCAAAAACTTCAGACTGCAGTTACATCTATCTCACATTGTTGCCTCTGCCTTCAGTTTTCTCCAGGATTGTTCTGACACAATCCTCAGAGGATTGTTCGAGCATTGTTCTGACACAAACCGTGACACTGAGCCTTACTCTGAGTGTCTCCAGAGTGAGGTGAGGTGTGCTTGAAAAAACCTGGACTTTGAAGCCAGGTACATTGCGTCTGTGTATCTGTATGTGGGTCTAACAAGTATGTCCCTCTATGATGCAGCATTCTCATTTGTAAAAGAAGGATACTAATGCCCACTTTTCGAGATTGTCATGATGAATAAATTGAGGAACATACGTAAAGTGCCTTTACATATAGGGTATGTCTATTAAATGAATGCTCAGTGTGAGGGTTTACCTCTTACATTGCAACCTTGGGAATAGACAACAAATAACTATGTTGTACATTTCTTAAGAATTCCAATGAATGCAAATTTTAGACCAATAATTGTATTCACTGACTCAGTAACTCTCTACTACCTTAAGAGAATTGGTGTTCCCCTCAGCTGTCTGCTTGCCACAAGGAGGGTTTCTGCATATGGAGTCTGAGTGGGCAGTTCACAGTGAACTGGTTGCTGTTGGTCCCCATCCGCTAGGCTCACCTGGTTTTATCTGGGAAAAATAAGTAGCCCATAGAAACAAGTGAATTGTTAGAGAAGGGGCAAGAAACATATTATTATTTTCTTAGTCTAACTTACCTTCTTACTACTCCACCACCATCCCTATCACCAGTGCCTAGCGTAGAGCCACAAAACCACCGTTCCACAGTGGTGTGATACATAGCTATTCTTTCAGTCTGTTTAGAGGCCAACCCCAGATCAGGGTCCTCACTGTAGTGCAGGACAGTCAAGGCACTTTTCTCTGAGATTGGACTAGGTACCGCCAGGCTTCCTATGAACTTGCCGCAAAGTTGCATGCTTGAGGAAAATCATTTCTGCTATGACTATTATCTCTGTAATCCTCCATCTCCAAAAAAAAAAACAAAAACAAAAAAACTCCCTTCCCTTTGCCTTGAGTAACTCTCCTCTTACTGCTAGACTCTTGGTTCACCCCCATCCCACTCCTCTAAAAGGTTGCTTACCTTCTCCACACTTTCCATACTCCATCATGGACAAACCTCAATATATCCACAACCTTTCTGCAGATGGCCTTATCTAAATATTCTTAGCTGAAACCTAACTAAAATGCATTCCGTCATACTCTTAAGTGAGGTTTATTTATTCTCCCCCTTTTCTCAAACCAAGAAGGAGGGCTGGCATTCTTCTGGTTATCCACTATGATGCCCAAACCAGGACTTTACCACCATCCTGTAATAGTTTGTCCTCCACTGAGCCCCGAGCTATTAATATTTAGTACTACTTCCTCCTCCCCCTCACTCCTACCTCTGTTTTCTTTCCTTCATTTATTAAGACTCTAATAAATGCAACCACCTTCTTCTCTCCGTCTCCTATTATTTAGTGAAGGATTTGTTTCAAATATTTTTAGTTACAAAAACTTTCATCTGTCAGCTCCCTCCCCTGATTAGATTAATTCATTTGTTAACCAATTTATTAATTAGTTCATTAATTAGTTCATCAGTCATTCATTTAAATGTTTAATAAGCACCCAGAATGTGCCAGGTCCCCATAAAAAGTGGATATCGCTGGATACAAAAAGGAACAAGACCATCAGGTACCCTGCTCTCCTTGAGCTTATAGTGAGAGGACATAGAAAATGGGTGATGATGGGGGGTGGATTCTAAATATTATGCAGAGAATGCAAATGGTATAATAAGTGAGACAATGTCCTGAGAAACTCTCTGTTAGGTGATAACATTTAATATGACTGACAAAGAGTATGGGGTGCAAAGGAGCGTGGTCGGAAAGGCCAGAGTGATGGGAGCATTGAAGGAGAGAAGGAAGGTGGCACTCATGAGAACAAAGCTGCTTGTGTCTGGTCGGGTTTAGGTGCTTCATAGACTAGAATATGTAGTTTGCAATTCTCCCCCTGAGACTTACTACAGGCAGAGCTGCATCCTGATATATTGTCCTGTCAGCTTGTGTCTCCAGTCACTTTCTGGGTTTGCTATTTCTATGCTCTCTCAATCACAGATGTCCCAGATAGTGATGATCATTGTACGTAGTCCAGGTTTCTATGCTGTTCAGAGCCCAGGTTCTGCTGCCAGCCTGAATGTTCTCCAGCACTTGCCATTGAGTCTCATACCCTGGCATCCAGCCCCCTCCCCCTGCCCACCTCTGGATCCATCGGCAGTTCTAGTTCTGGGTCTATTGAAGATTGTCCAGCCCTCCACACCCAGCTCTGTTCTGAGATGACACTGCTCAGAAGTTCAGCCCTTCATTGAAATAGACTAACATGCTAATGGTGTGAAGAGGTTTCAGAAATTTTATCTGAGAGCAGGCTAAATAATATTTAAAATACCTTTACACATTTGAAAATCTGTGATTCTAATACCAATGTGCTTCAGCTGTTAAGAAATGAGTGGGAGGGTCTCATGTTAATCACTTTGGAAAGCCAACAGTTATGGATTCTGTTTGGTTTTTGTTAACTGCAGCACTTTGTTTCTCAGCACTGTTATTACCAGTGTCAAGAATGGGTTTAAGAAACCACAAAACATTTCTTGGAAAAGAAGACTCTTGAAAGGAAATGCACATTCATGCTGTGAATCTGAAAGTTCTTTGCAATTGTCTTCAAGTAAGCTAGTTCTCGAACACTATTCTCTGTAGCTCTCAAGAGAACACAGACCCTACTTGGAATATGACTGCTAGATTCTAACAAAGCATTAATCCTGGCCTCAAGACCCACCAAAAGAGTAAAAGCAAATTAAGATTAAAATATCTTAAGTATTTACCAGTGCAAGACACAATGTCAGATACCCAAAATAACAAGTTAATTTAGGAAGTCTGACACTGCCAATCTTAGACAGAATATCTTTCTGAATGTTAAAATTTATGGATATATTGTTCATGTTAGGTAATATATTTGAAAATCTGGAACATGCTATTATCTTAAGATTTTTTTGAGTGTTTATAAAAGTTCTTCCTATAGAATTATAAAGCAGAAGGAGCAAAAGATCAGACTCTTTCCTTGGCACACAAGTGTCATTTGTTAAATGGCATCCCCATGGCATTTCAAATAACCTTTTTATAGATATTTTTTCCCTTTCTTTGCATGAAATTCCTAAACCTATCACAAAAGTGTAAGTATTCACTGATTCACATGCTATATTTGCTTTTTCTGGCAGCAGATGATTATTTTAACTCAGAGAACCCAGATTTGTCTAGTCTGTTGTCATCATTGTTGTTACTGCCATCATCATACACATCATCTTCATACTCTAAGGCTATTAAAGTCCCTAGTTTTCCTTGTGAGGTTTTAAAAACCTTTTTCTATTAGAAATTTTGGTAAAAAAATAAATTTTCCATTGTCTTAGTCCATCCAGGCTGCTATAACAAAATACTTTAGACTAGGTAATTTATAGACAAAAATTTATTTCTCATAGTTGCAGAGGCTGGGAAGTCCAAGATCAAGACACTAGCAGATTTGGTGTCTGGGAAGGGCTTGATCCTCATAGATGGCACCTACTTTGTGTCCTTACATGGTGGAAGAGGCAAGGAAGCTCTCTTCAACCTCTTTTATAAGAGCATTAATCCCATCTATGACAGCACAGCCCTCATGAGTTAATCACTTCTCAAAAGGTCCCACCTCTTAATACTGCCACATTGGATGTTAGGTTCCAACATATGAATTTTGGGAGGACACCAACATTCAGACCATAACACACATCAAATCAAGTTGTTATTTCAAAGGTGATTTTAATATGTGCTCCAGCTTCATCATCAATGACCATCTATATTTTGTTTCATTACAAGCCTTGTTCTCCTGAACTCAAATTGCTTTACTAATGTATGATCTGTGATCAAAGTTTTGGATTTCTACAGAAAATAGTAATAAATAACAAGTAAAAATCAAAGAATAGAAATAAAGAAAATAAAAATAACCTAATAGAATAAAATTGGGGGTTCTATAAATTATAGATAATACTATTATAAAATCTCAAAAAATTAAATTAGCTCACTGGAGAACATAAACTGTCATAGAAAATCTTCCCTGAAAGAATGCATCACTTGAAGTTTGCTGCATATTTCAGTTGTAGAGAAGTATTTAATAAATTATGGTATATCTATGCAATGGAATAAAAAGTAGATCCATACCATTGAGGTAGATCTGTATGTGCTGGTATCAATGAAAAGACACAGAAGAAATGTTAATTGAAAAAGGTAAGTAAAAAAATTTCATTTCATAAATCCATTTGTATACAAAGAAAATTTACTTTGCAAGAAGGCAAAAGAATAGAATCATGTCTTGAAAAGAACGGTGGATATTGGCAAATACAGTTTACTGGAATCAAAGAGATAAGAAGCTTATCTCTTTTGGGAGAAATTTAAAATCAAAGAAACCACAAGCCCAAGTGGACCTATGGTCTTCCAACATTATACAAGTTGGACATGAACTAAGAAAATTACTCAGTCCCCAATAAGGGCATATGCCCATAGTATATGGCATGGAAGTATATGGAAGATAACAGAAGAAGACCTTCCAGAGGGTGGAGTCCTGAGACTCAAGGAATATTTTTGCACCCTCAAGTTAGAGGGCTTTACAGCTTTTGTCCAGTGGTAATTTAGTAAGCTTCTTATCTCTTTGATTCCAGTAAACTATATTTGCCAAGACTCACAGTTCTTTCCAAGACATGGTTCTCAAACCTACTCTATTCTTTTTCCTTCTTACCCCATTCATATTCTCTCTCTCTTTCTATCTTTCTCTCTCTCCTCCCAACTTCCTTCCTCTCTCCCTCCCTCCCTTTCTCCATCTCCATTTCTGTCTTTCTCTAACCTTCACCGGTATCCTGAATCTACGTGAGTCTATGATTTTCTGTGGAAAAACCACACCCTTAATTTTATCTTTTCTCTGAGCATTTATCCAATTGAATACCTTAATTTTATCTGCCCTGAAGTTCCTCCATATTGAGAGGCATTATGAATAGGTGTAGAGGCCATACTTTTACTTTGATCTTTCTACAGTTTTATTTTAATGGGTTTTGTCTTTCAGGGCTTTCTTAATTTCTGTCTTAGTGTTTAAAGTCTAAAGCTTGTTAGGATTTCCAATTTTGCAAGACCCCAATTTTCTGAAATATCTTTATTCTTTTTCACATTTGCTTGCAAACCAACCAATTCTCTTCTCAGCTTATAAATCCTTCCCAAAACATAGCAAGTAGCTGCCAACACACACTAGAAACATTGTTTTCCAATCTTTTTGCTTAAAGTCACATTTTCTTTCGCTACATAATCTTCCTTCCAAGTTAATACAGAAGTTGGTGTTACCAACCACAACATAACAAGAATTGTCATCTCTCTAGTCTCCATCATCAGTTTCTATGCTGTCCATCACTGCCAAGCACATGCCACATATTTTAGGGTTTTTATTATGGAAGCACACTGCTTCAGATATCAATATCTAGTCAGAACTAGTTACAAAGTTTCACCCATTGCAAGGGAGAGGAGAAGTATGGAAACATGCCTTAAAGGCTGATAACTGGGCATGAGTGAGCACAGGAAGTCTGCCACATCTTCCATGAACAATCTAAATTATTCCTCACCCACCCCTTCATGTTCTTTACCTGCATTTTCCCCTTATTACAGTGGCAGTTTTATCATCTTTTATTTGCTGTTTACCATTTCGTTGTTCATTTTCCCAACTAGATTATAAGTGCCTAGAGGGCAAGGACCAAGCATGACTTAATCCCCTTTTGGTTACACAGGTCTTGGCATAGTGCCTAGGACACTATAGGTGTCCAATATATATTTGTGGGAATAATGTGTAAATTGGTAAATGAAGGAATGAATGAATGAATGAGACTTAGATTTTCTCCTCTCTTACTGCACAACCAGCACCGTGCCTGTTGTATTCAGCTTGTTCTTCCCTTCCACAGAGGTCGTGCCTGTCTGACCAACACAGCTGCACAGCTCAGAATAACATGAGGCATCTGGAATTGCCAAACCAGTGACAAACAGTAGGTAGCCTATCCAGAGAGGAGGAAGACAGGGTCATGAGGCAGGTTCCAGGTGCAGCTGAAAGGCCACCTGGACACCTACTCTCCCACCCACTTTCGTCAGAGTCACCAAGCCACAGTGGGGGACGGACAGATGCAGGCCTGGGCAGAGCAGGGACTCTCCCGACTTCTTCCTGCTCTCCTCCCTGCTCAGCTCAGCTGCTTCTGTCTTGCTACTTCCCACAGTCTTTCCTGTTACTTCCCCCATTCGCCACCGTCTTTCCACAGCTATAACTGAACTACTTAAAGGAGGAACTGCTCTTTTTACTTTAGCTGACAAAGCAGCCAAAGGGCAATAACAATTTTTCTGTATTTTACTTTTAGATTCCTTAAAGAAGTTTCTCTTTCTTTCTTGGAAGCAATGAACCAATCCTGAATAGGTTTTGTTTACAGCTAGATTAAGAGTTTGGCTTTCTGTGACTCTACTTTGGCACTATACCTGACTTCCTCTGGTAGTGTCACACGCCTGCAGTACTTATCGTTCTTATTAAGCTAATTTAAGTTTGGCTATTAAGCTCTCTTCCTAACTCCATGACTATTCATCCAAGTCTCTTTCCCAAGCTCCCCCTTCTCTTCCAAAATATCCATATTGGTACTCACTATAGTTTAGTCCTTTCCATATATATTTTAACACCCTGAATAACCTCTTCTTGGCTCCACCACTGACATGTGACTTTGGGCAAGCTAATTAATCTCCACGCTTCAGTTCTCTTGTCTGTAAATGGAAAATAACATTACCTGCTTCACTGGGTTGTTGTGAAGATTAAATGAGTAGATACATGTAACATTCTTATAATAGTGTCTGGCACATAGTAAATGCTCAAAAGTGTCAGCAATTTTCATTATTATCCTTTCCCATGGCTTGGACAACCAACTGTTTGTTGACATTTCCAAATTTTCATCTCTAGCCCCACCATTTCCTAAATTCTACATGGGCATTTCTAATTGCCTCGCAGACATCTATACTTGTATGTTCAGCAATCATCTCCAACCCCAAACAGAAATCATTTTATGTTAAAACTTATTCTTCCTCCAGAATTTTGGTGTCTTTCAAGCTAGAAAACTCAGGATCACTGGCAGGTGCCACTTCATTTCTTGTGCAGCTTGATTCTGCCTCAGGACGGCCCCTCAGTTTGGATCTCTCCTTCCCACCCTCACTGAATGTGGTCCAGGCCCTTATTATCTCATCCCTCTGCAGTTTATGCCACAACGAATGCGTCATTCATTGCTGGCAGGAATGCAAAATTGTGCAGTCACTTTGGAAGGCAGTTTAGCAGTTCTTACAAAACAAAAATGCTCTTACCATATGTTCCAGCAATTGTGCTCTTTGATATTGTAGAAGTGAAGGGAAATTTGCCCTTTCCCCCAAAAGTTCGCTGAAAGATCAACTCACAAGGCAGATTAATAAGAGAAAAGTTTACTTACCATGCACATGGGGAGAATAACAGAATGATTACCCAATATCACAATGAAGTTAATATATTTTTATATATGCCTTTCAGAGGGGAGGGAGGAAAATGAGGAATATAGGTAATTTTGTTTAGGGGTGACAAACGGTTGCTAGGGAGAATGAATGGATAGGGGAAACAGATTGACTTGTAAATTAACCCAAGAGACAGATATTATGTTTTAAATAATTTGGACCAGGTCTGGTTGCATTCTGCAATGTATTGTGATAACAGGGAGAGGAAGGGAAGTCAATTGCCACCTTTGATTTTTTGATTGGTCAATCTGTTTATGCAGATGGAGGGAAAGACCCTTCCCATGCTTTGTTCATCTAGAAGGGCTTACAAGTCAAAATATTCTTTATACCAAGGAGTCATATTTTGGGGTGAAAGTTCCTGAGCTCCTTCAATATCTACCCAAAGGAAGCGAAAACTTATGTTCACAGAAAAATTTGCATATGGGTGTTTACAGCGGCTTTATTTGTAATTGCCAAAATTTGGAAGCAACCAAGATGTCCTTCAGTAAATCAGTGGATAAATGATAGATATGCTGTTACATCCCAACAATGGAATATTACTCAATATTGAAAAGAAATGAGCTATCAAGTCATGAAAAGACATGAAAGAAACTTAAATGCCTATTACCAAGTGAAAGAAGACAATCTGAAAAGGCTATGTACCATATAATTGCAACTGTACGACATCCTAGAAAAGGCAAAATTCTGGTGACAGCAAAATGATCAGTGGTTGCCAAAGTCATGGGTGGGGGAGGAATAAATAGGCAGAGCACAGAGGATGTTTAGGGCAGTGAAATAAATCTGGATGATACTATAATGGTGGATACATGTTGTTGTATATTTGTCCAAATCTATAGAGTGTACAC